ATAGTCTTGCAATTGTGGAGGTAAAAAAAATCTAAAGTCAGTTTCCTTGGGCTGAAGTCAAGATGTTAGCTAGGCTGGTTCTATCTTAAAGCACTGAGGCAAGAATCTGTTTCCTTTTCTCTATATCTAGTAGCTACCTGTACTCCTTGGTTTGTGGTCTCTCCTCCATCTTTGAAGGGTATCATTTCAGTTACTGTTTCTATTATCACATCATTTATTCTGGTTTCTTCTTAAAATGATCTTGTAATTTGACCTTATAGCCAGGATATTCTTGCTCCTGTTTTCCTTAATATCACAATTACAAGGTCCCTTTTGCCATATATGGATTACACATGATACTACCTGTCTATAAGTCATTTCCCGGTTCCTTGGGTGGCCTCCCAATTCTTAATGCTCACTCTATTTTATATTGTTTTACAATATACTATTGCCTGTGAATAATGAAGTAAAATTCCTTGATTCCACAGAAATAAATGAAACTAATCTATCTCTAAAGGAAGCTTTAAAAATTCCACCCAAAACTGGCAATAGAAAATTGTTCTGTAATAGTTTTAGTACCAAAATACCAAACATCACTAACAGTCTGAAAGAATGGTCTCCTAGGAACCGTGCATCCCTGATAAAGAAAATGGCTCATCTCAGTGCCTCAGTTCACTCGGGATCTTCTTGAACATTCACATCCACACCTGTCTGAGCCATCATCAGCCAGCACACAGTGGGCTGCAAACTTGGAGAGAAGAAAAAAACTGCAGAAGGTGGCCGGTCACTAGACTTCAGTCACAGGAGTGGGAAAAGCACCACCACATACCTCCTAATACATACACCCTCGCCTGCTGCGTGTTCTCAAAGTGTGGGTCTGAGGAGTTGAATACTGGGTAAAACACAAACACCCCATGATGTATACAAGACTAAATAAAACAGAATCCTAGGGGTGAATTCAGAAAGCTGACTCTTTAGCAAGTCCTCTCTCAATGTTCATCCAAATGTACATTTGACATTCACTGACCCCTGCTAGCCAATGGGCAAGGTGAAAAGGGACAAGTTATCTAAGTTACAATTCGTATCTGATGTTCACTCATCCATTAGTGAGTGGGTGTGATAAAGAGGCACAAGTTACCAAAGTAAGGATATCTGAGTCCAAGGGCCCAGTCCACTTACAAGCCAAGTAACAGTGGGCCTCTGTTTTCTCATGCATAAACATTATGATAATTAATTTATAGGGTTTCCGTACCATGACATTACTGACATTTTTCAGTAAATAACTGTGGTGGGGGCTGTTCTGTGTGCCATTGTGTATCTGGCAACATCCACAGGTTAGCCCATTAGATGGTTCACACCCCAGTTGTGACTCCAAAAGTGTTTCCTGACATCGCCCAAGGTCTGGGAAGTGAGAAGAGGGCAGTTGGAAACGGTGAAATCGCTCCTGTTTGAGACCGACAGATGTAAAGTATTGCTGGACCTAATAAAGGTGACGGGATGACACATAACATGCTAAACTCTTCTTTCTTTTCTCTCCCAATTCAGACTGGATTCTCTGGAAGAGAGGAGTCAAAAATTTTCAGTAATAGTCTCAATGCTGCCTCACTTTCGATACTTCTTTGTTTCTCATGGGTGTCACCTTAAATTCTGTCTGTTCAGTCAGTTAAGATGAGCAGACACTGGGTTATGAAGTTAACATGATATTTTGTTCTTAATTTAGAAATTTTCAAAAACTGGTTGTCATAACGTTGGGATTCACGTGCATTATACATAGAGGACTTTATATTATTGTTAGAATCTTTCAGAGGCCAGTTCTTCAGCCCTCTAGTTAAAGTACCAAAAGACTAGAAAGCATGGCTCACAGGCTTCCCATCCAAAACCAGTCAACAGCCCCATCCATGAAACAAAATAGTTCTAAAATCTTAAGTTCCTCCAAAATTCCACATGCTATAAAATGTGAAACCTCATGATTCTGATTAATTCTTAATACTTTATTAAGAACATCATACTTTGGGGATCAATAACCAATAAAGTAATGTTAATATTTTAATATTTGTTCAATAATCATTTCATTGAAGTAACAGTTTTTGAATGTCTAATTCATGGAAACACCAGTCCTCCCACCAACACCGGAAAGGATAAGACATGATCCCTGACCCCAAGGTAGAAAGACAAACACACAGGAAAACAATAAAAGCCAAGAAGTATGTGCTCTGTACAAATGCAATAAGAAAAATCCAGGGTCAGGAAAAGATAAAGATGAGTTCAAATAGTTACTGAGAACTTGTTACGGTTGAAAGAAAGTAATGGATAAAAATGGAACAGTTAGAGATGACCAAAAAAAGAAAAAAAAGGCTTTCACATTGCCTTCCGTATCCAGAGCCAAACAAGACAAAGATAAATTCAAGGCAGGCTGGAAACTTAGAGTTACAACATTCTCATCACTCTCTCCAGAAGAGGAGAAATCTCCCCTTGAAGTACAGCTTCTTTGAGTGATGAGAGATTCAACTATGGAAGTAAATATACTGAATAATTAGAAATGGCAATTTGCTAGACGATGTTTCATCAAACTGATGCCTCACTGGCTTCTTTGGCAGCCACTTGTCTGAAGAAAAAAATGTAATTCAGGGGCTAGAAGA